CCTGCTGGTGACAGGGCTGCTTGGTAGGAGACACGCTTGTGTCCTTAGCAGGAGTCCTGCTTGCCCTGGCACGCCTAAGGCCACCCCCTGCTTGCTCCCCGCACCGGTGGCCGCTGTGTTCAAGCATCCGCAGCTCCCAGCCCTGCGAAGCATCCCAGAGCATCCCGTTCCTGCGAAGTGGGGTGCAAAGGGAAATCCCCTCTGATCCAGCCCTGGGGGACCCCAGGGACCCCACAGCCCTTGTACAGTCCCCTCTTCCCAGCTGGGACCATCCCCACAGCACCCTTCCGCGGTGCTCCCAGGGAAGCATCCCCCACTCGCCCAGCCCCACGCCAGGAGCTGTGGGGACCCAGCCTGCCTCCCCACCTCTTCTCTCCCTGGGGGTCCCAGCCTGCCTCCCCCCGCCATCACTCCCTGCTCAGCGCCTGCTCTCCTCTCCCGGGCAGGTGGGGACCGAGTTCACCACCATCCTGTACAACTTCATGTGCAACAGCAGCTGCGTGGGAGGAATGAACAGGAGGCCCATCCTCATCATCATCACCCTGGAAACGAGAGAGTGAGTGGCTGTCAGAGCAGGGACGGGCACTGCGGGAAGGCTGGGGTCCCTCGGGAAGGAGCCCTCCCCTGCAGGGAGCACCCCCAGGGAAGGGGACATGGCAGCCCCCGCAGCCCCAGCCTGCGCCAGGGGAAAGGGTCTTCTCTGCCAGCTAGGAAAAGGGCTGGCACGGAGGGCCTGGGGACCCAGCCCAGCGTCGGCTTCTCCCCCTGCAGCTGGAGCCTTCCTCTGCCCCCAGAGCTCCTCTTCCCCCAGGAGACTGCTGCTGCGGGGCTCTCTGCACCCAGTACCGTGGGGTCTCCATTCATATGAAGGGAGGGGAAGGCACTTTGCTGGTCTGGTTTCTGCACTGGGCCATAACGTGGTGGACTGAACCACGATGCATTTCCCAAGCAGAAATAGTCACTGATTTCTCTCTCCTCCCAGCGGCCAAGTCCTAGGGAGGAGATCGTTCGAGGGACGGATCTGCGCCTGTCCCGGCAGGGACCGGAAAGCTGATGAAGACCATTACCGAGAGCAGCAAGCCCTGAACGAGAGTGCAGCTAAAAACGGCAATGCCAACAAACGCAGTGAGTCCCAGCACCTGCACCCCCTCGCCCCTCAAAGCCATGTGATGCTTCTGCGTCAGCTCCTTTCCCATCGCACCCAAAATCATGGTACTCCAGAAGTTTGGGCTCAAATCCACATCCAGGCATGGTGCTTTGACCTTTCTTGACTAAATCTAAAGTCTCATAAATAGGACCCACTCCCTTTTCCTTCCAGAGTGCAAAGCTATTAGTGCAGGGCTTTTGTGTCCAGATATGTGTGGTGTTCATTGTTATTACTAATAAAGGGACAACACCAATGCCAAAGCCCAGGTGAACACCTAGCATCCTGCATGGCTTGAGCTTAAATCCTGCAGGGAGCCAAGTGCTCCCAGCTGTGTCCTGCCCTCCCCAGCACAGCATGCTGACTCTCTTCCTCTCTCCTTTCCAGCGTTCAAGCAGAGCCCCCAGGGCATCCCAGCGCTGGGGGCCGGCATTAAGAAACGGAGGCACGGGGAGGAGGAGATGTATTACGTGCCTGTAAGTGTCAGTGAGCCACACTGGTTGAGAGCTCGGCTCGGGATGGCGGTGGCATCGTCCCGTCTGCGAGAAACACCTTGGGCATGCGGTGTCGGGCAGGACGGGGTTGCACGGTCTCCCGGAAGGCAGCAGGCACGAGGGCTGAGCAGAGACCTAGGGAACAGGAGCAAAAGCATCTGTAAATGCATGTGTCCAAGGCAGTCCTGGATCCCCAAATAGTCCCTGGCCGCAGTGACACGGCACCTTGTGTGGCTGGGTAGAAAACAGCGGCCACGAGGAAGGTGGCCAGGTGGGACGGGAACAAAGCGAAGCCCTGGCCTTGTTCCCTCTTCCAGGTGCGAGGCCGGGAAAACTTTGAGATCCTGATGAAGATAAAGGAGAGCCTGGAGCTGGTGGAGCTGGTCCCGCAGCAGCTGGTTGACTCCTACCGGCAG